TCAGATTTATATATATGTCCAGTCGTTCGCTAACTTTCCATAATTCTCTGCTTAAATATTTTGCTAAACAATCCCTTTGATATATCAGGGTATTATCCTAGGCTCCCTCCCCCCTTGTCCTGGAATTTAAATGTCCTGTGACGGGTATACTGGGTTTACTACTGGATCACTTAACACTTTTCTCTACACAACACTATTCATTTCAGATTGATAGATAGATAGATTTGAAGATAGGTACATGTAGATATAGAATATATTGTAGATATACATGTATAGATGTATATCGTACATAATGCAGTGCATACATACATATAATGTTCTTGAAATAACATATTCATTGCTAATTATTTGTTCAAATAAGAGAATTCTTTTTCTTACTTGAGAAATAAAAAAATAGAAGTACTGTTGTTCCTAAAAAAGGAGTCATATTTTTTTTTCTTGATATTGGCAAACAAAACAATGTTAAAAATAAATAAAATATTTTTGTTTACAGATTTGATTTTTGACATTTTTTTTGACTAAGATATGGTTTGAATTTTTCTTTTTTTATCATAAAAAAGAAATTATTTTAATATTTTCAAGAAATTGTAGATGGGTATTCTAGGTTGTTTACTGCAGGGGTGATCAATATTGGAATTGAGCCAACCGCCCGCCGAAGGTGGCTGCGTTTTCACTTAAAAAAGATATTGCAATAAAAAAAATCAAAATCGTCCATAGGGTTGCGATTTGACGATTTAATATCGGAGAATTCACCGTAAGACCATGAAATTTTTTATTTTTTTTTATTTTCTGTTTTACATCATTTTCTTGGAAATTTAATGCTGAATTCAAATCTGAAAAGCGTTTTAAAAAAATGAAAATTGAGTGAGTTAGAGCTAAAAAACTCATCAAAAACATTAACAAGTTAAAAAACCGGAATTTAGTACCGTCACTTGGCCATAACTTCTTTAAATTTTAATATTTTTAAAAATGGTTTTCAAATCTGAATTCTGCATGAAATTTTAAAAAAAATGATGTATTATATTTACCCCACAAATCAATCACCCCTATTATTCAGTACCTCTGTATGTAGTAAACATCCTACTCCATAAACTGTTCTTTAACTCGTATCTATCCAGCTACAATCCCATCCCATAACTATCAAATGTCTAAACCCGGTTAAAATCTTACAACCTATCGATACCAAACAAATAGGCATGATCACGTCAGCTATTGATGTCAACAAGACACTAGCAATTGTTCTATCAACCCCACTACCATTGGGGGGGGGGGGCGATCTCGTTAGCTATCGATGTCAACACAGGCACTAGCAATTAGTCTGTAAGATCTGAGGATCTTTATAAACTAATGTGTGTTCAGGGTGTTCAGCAACAAGACGTTATTCAGTGTGTTCAACCAGGAATTATCTTCAAACGATCGATCAATCACACGGAACTCTACATGCACAGTTTTTTACATTTAGTCATGTGTTCAAATCTATATAATTAATTGAGATTTTTAATGTATTACTATTTAAAGGCCAATTTTTATAAAGAATAACCTGATTTTGTTTTATAATGCAGAACCTGAGTCATGGTTAAAATGTTTTATAATTTAACATATATATAATATTTAGCCATGTTTTATTTTAAAGGCTAAAATTTTATTATTGTCATGCATATAATTAACCCTGGACTTATTTATTGTGTTTTCAGTTCACGGTTGAGTCCTGTATAAACTGCCTACCTGAAATATATACATAAGATTTAATCAGTGCATATAGAGGTAAGCCGAAGAGAAAGAGTTCATGCTCGCTCTTATGTTTGTAGTTATTACCTGGTCTCCTATAGGTAAAAATGAGCACATAGTCTATCAACGACACTACCACTGGGAGCGATCTCGTTAGCTCTCGATGTCAAAACAAACACTAGCAATAAGTCTATCAATGCCACTACCACTGGGCGCGATTTCAGCTCGTTCGTTTCAACGAGAACATAATAACTCTCTTAACCTCAATCAAATCAGAGTTACTATATCAACTACTGTATTTGAGGATTATATCTTACAAGTAAAAGTTGATAACCACAATTACAATTCCTACCTCGTCATCTATATCACATGATTAAGGCAATCATGTTATGCATTACAGCACAGTTAAAATAGTTGTAATTAAGATGTACGTCATCATCTTTATCACATGATTAAGCTAATCATGCTACATTTTCATTTGAAACGCAGTTCAAATGAATAATTATTTTACGTAAAGTTTACAAACATAGATTGTTAATAATGTACAACGTACTGCAGGTTTACAGATTACAGAATAATGTGTTAATCAATATTTGCTACATGTATAGCTACCTAAGTAGTTGTTAACAATGCACCATGTGAGTTTTACAACCTAGTAATTGAAGGACACCTTTGAACATGTTTAAAAGGTTGCAATGACTTAGAAGAGAACCCAGTTTCCAGGCACTAAAATTCTACAACCTTATCGACGTCTCAGGAATTCGAAATTTGAAAGCAAACATCCTTAAAGGTCATTTTTTACAAGGGGCGACCTTCTTAAAATTTAGCCATTTTGGGCGTATGGTGGGGGGGCAGGAGGGGGTGTGAGACATGATGAATTATAATGTTACACTTGCATACACAACATGTATCGTTAATTATACCTTTAATTAAACAAGTCATTAAGTTTAGTCTATTATTCAACACATATTTGTGTAATGATGTTTTTAATGACTATATAAACATATTTGAGTAATGTATACATTGTACAGCTCAAGCAACTCATCAAACCCAAGAAAATATTTACTTGGTTCCACCAAATATTACGGAGAAAAGGCGAAAGTCTATTTGGCCCAGATTTGATAATGGTCATGTGCGATACCGCTTCATGCGTCCATTAAAGTCTCCTGGACAAATACTGCGTATTTTCCTGGAAATATTCGGAGATTTTTATAAAATATTTCCTAATGATATTTAGTATAGAGACGAGCAGGTGATCCTTTGGTAAATATTTACTCCATTACAAAGAGTGGAGAAAGAAGGGGAAGGGGGGAAGAAGGGGGAGGAAGGGGGGGTGTAGGCTTATGGCTAAACCTTTAGTGGGAGGGGGGGGGGGCGATGAAAAGAGAACTGAAAACCTATATTTCTTGAAATAAATTACAGTTTTGAAATGGTAAAACTTTCTCTTGGACTTATTGTATTGTTGGACAATAAGTCGTAATATATTTGATATTTAAACAGGCTTACTTCCCCCCCATACATCTTTGGCTTTCTTATATATCAATACTATGTGTATTATATATATGTATACAAATATATCTATAAATTTCATATATACAATAAATACAAAAATTAGCTCTCCATTAATTTTATCTATTTAATTTACAAAAAGTACATCACTGATTCCTTGTTTCTGTAATTGTTAAATAAAAACATTTAAAACCATCAATTGCAATTTTTATTTTAGAAAATTATATACATGTACATCTTTCAAGTTTTCAAAAAAGTGGTATTTCTTTTTTGAATCTTTAAAAGTGACGGAGATATTTCTGGCTTTAACAATTTTGTTGTACATGGTATGGAATCTGAGCAAACTTCTCAATTACTCCGTCAATTTTGAAGACCACATTTTGGAAAACCCACTTTGTAATTTCAATTTTGGAAATTGGTAGCACATGGGAATATATCTACAAAGTTTTTAGACACTTCCCAAAAAGTGCATGTTTTCCACCCTAAAATAAGGCTTCTGCAAAATTATCCAGTTTTTGAATTCCATAAAGTTAAACATTTTAGTTTATATTGTTGGATATTCTGTTAGTTACAGCAGGAATCAGCTGATCATTTGTAAGTTGAGAGAAAGCAAAAAAGCGCAAAGTATTGGGTCGGAAATGTTATGCATTGGTGGAACAGTCTGCAATGTACAGTGAATGGGAGAAAACCGTTTATACTTTCAAGTCGTCTTGCTATTGTCATGTTTCGTGGGACACCCTGTAGCATGACATACATTTTCCCCAAATTGTTTTACAAGTTCTAAGGAGATATAAATGATATTGCAAAGCGTAGACTGAACTCGTAACAAAACATAGCTTTGAATCTGTCAAAAAAATATGAAAATTTGGCATAAAATTTTTAAAAAGTTCTCTGAATCCTACCAACTACAGGTAACAGATGGTAACTAAGTAAATTATTATAAAAGTTAATCTGTAAACTTGTTCACAATCCTGTAATTATGGATTAATCGGATAAACTGAGATTAAGTCAATTTAAAAAATCAACAAATTTGCCTAGGTACAATGACTCTTGATAATAGGAAACGATGATTACATGAGTTTTATATTTTTTCCCTTATCCTCTTATCACTCCTTCCTTATTCTTTCCTTCTTTTTAGATTGTGACAAACAAACTATCATTATTATTATTAATACTTAATTTGTTTTCCGACGTCTTATATGTACCGTTAAAGTTACTTCAGAAAGTGCTGCGTATTTCCCATTAAACTATTAATTTGTGTATTATATTGGTTAGTTTTATGAAACATTAATTTCTTCGCAATTTATTATTAATATTGAGATATCTGCACGATAAAATATTTGTGTATATCGATACAGAGGATTATCTGTTTCATATCCAGCTATCAATACATTCGATAATATATATAGATATTGAATAATCTAGTTTAGAAGATTACTATTAATCATTGTTTACGTCAACATAGATTTGTGAACAAATATTCCCCCCATGTACTGTATGTAGATCTCCCCTCTCTATCTATCTATCTAACATATATCTATATATCTATCTAAGTCTTCTATTGAACACGAGAGAGGTGCAGATGTGCCTCCAATAAGCATAATCGTATAAATCATTAACTACTAATCCTCTATCTATCTATCAATCTTTCCCCTATTAATCGCATAGCCAATGGGAGGTCGAGTTGGATTTATTCTGTACAGGCCCGACTTTCACTAGCCAATCAGAGACCCTTATCGATTTTTTAAATTTCCAGTTCAGCCAATGAGAGCCGAGGATTACCAACAGCTGAAGGAGGGACAATACTCAGTTGCTGTTTGATCTTCCGAGAGTTAAGACATTTCGAACCAGAATGTGTCCTAAAGAGACCCTTCTCTGTACAGAGACAATGCTTGATGAAACAGAGAAAAATATAGAAATAGAACAATATTTTGGAGTAAAAAGTGTTCTAGACAAAATTATTTTGAAAGACAAACGAGTGATTCAAAATATGATTGCGGAAGAGAAACACTTTATGCGATTCGATTACTGTGCTAATCTCCAGACAGAGATTAAACCTCACATGAGAAAGATAGTTGTCGACTGGATGCTGGAGGTTTGTGAAGATCAACAATGTCAACCTCAAGTCTACCATTTAGCTGTCAACTATCTTGATAGATATTTATCAAAAAGATTGATTAAAAAGCCACAATTCCAGTTTTTGGCCACGGTAAATACAATTTTATATTTTTAAAAAGAAATCTAAGACTTTTAGAAATTTTATTTTATGATGATAATTTTTAATTTTATTTCAGGCCTGCTTGTTTGTAGCTTCTAAAATGTCTGAAGTTGTTCCAATGTCTTCAGAAAAATTGATAATTTTCACAGACAACTCCTTATCCTTTACAGAACTCCTATCTTGGGAACTCCTACTCCTGCAGACCTTAGGCTGGGAATTGACCCCCTCCACTCCCTTCTCCTTTCTTGAATTCATCCTGCAGCAGCCTTTCTTCGCCTCCTGTCCTCTCATGGACAAAATAAGACGACATTCAGAATATCTTTTAATAATTGCTACAAGTGAATATCAGTTTCTAAGCATATCTCCGTCTCTTCTGGCAACCAGTGCAGTTTTAACAGCTTTCAGTGGACTTGTACAATATTCCAGAAAGCCAAGCCTTGTCGCCGTTTTAAGCCATTTAGTTGGCCGACCGGAAAAGGAAATAAATTTTGTAAAATTGGCGATTGAACGATTGATCGAAAGCTATAGAGAATTTAAATCTGAGTCTGACAAACCTCTAGTCAATAATGTTGCATTTAACCATGTCATAGTTGTATAGAAATATAGAGATTGTTAAATTTATTTTTATGTTTTTTTCTGTACAGAGAGAGAGTTTTAAAAAGACTTTATTTTTGATTACGCAAAAGAAATATTTATTTATGGACTGATAAAGGAGCTAAACATATTGAGTTTGAGAAGACTAATCAATTTTCCTTTAGGAATTGTTTTCCAAAAATTTTGATATAAAGAATTAAACATTGAAAAAAAAGTAAAAAAGAGATTGAATTTTTTTGAGATGAATTAAGGATCTTTAAAAAGACCTCTCAATGTAATGTAATCTAAGCACTAAGCAACGTGCCCCAATTGAATATTATTAATAAAAAAGGCAAATATAACATATGCCTTCTATCTTTCCTCTCAATTTCAACTGTTAACTGTTTTAAGTGAAACAAAATTAAGAAAAAGGCTTTATATTTTCACGCAAATGTATAAATTTACCGGCGTCAAACCTTATAGAAATCTAATGTATAGAAACCGCTACGTATAGCAACATGGCGTATTTTCCGGGAGAACATTTTTTATATTTTTGAAAAATTAAATTATCAGTGTAAAGTAAATATAATTTTCATAAAATCCTTTTATTTAAATGGTAAAACGGAATTTTATGAAATCATATTAGTATTACTGGAGAACTTTTTTTATACTTTAAAGATTTTTTTCCAAACCTAAAATGTACTTATTAAACTATTTCGCTCCTTTAATGTCTAGGGTATTATGGTAAATTATGATAAATAGAAATTATGATAATGTTGAGTTACAATGTTTTACAAAAACGTTTAATTTTTCAAAAATATAAAAAAATGTTCTCCTGGATAATACGCAATGTTGCTATACGTAGCGGGTCCATACGTTGGATTTCTATAAGGTTTGACTCCAAATTTGGCACCGTTGGTATCATAAGATATTTTGACACGAAAGTTATGATAAGCGTTTTAGGAACTCCTCTTTACTTATTGAAATAAACTATATCCAACATATCCTTAAGCAAGACAAGGATTACAAATGCCAATATATGCATTTCCTTTTCATACATGTCACAAATTCGAATTCTGAACGTGGTTTCAAACATGACCCAACTTTTGTAACAAATTATACTTTTGATAATATGCAACTATTCAAATCAAAACAAGCTTCCAAAGTTTAAAAGATATCATACATGGACAGTGGACACTTTTTATTTCAACAAGAATCTTGTTTTTGTTGAACTAAAATTAAACGACAGAAACAATTAAGAAATACATTTTTTTTCATGGATAAATGTTTCTCTGGAAGTAATACTGATCAGGTATTTAAATTCCAAAAACTGCTTTACTATAAAAGAGTATTATTAATTTTGTTTTGAAAGAAAAGTGGGTGGGTTCTGAAAACTCAGAGAGATGCCAAAAAGATACAGACTACATTGATGAAACTGCATAATTTTCAAGACTTTGAAGTGTTTTTAAATAGTAATTGGCAAAAATCTTATCGATTTTTGCGTGACACAGTTTGCAACCTTTGGATGGCTGCAAATGCAAAAGCTATACTCAAAATTTCCTAAACCCCAGTTTTCCACTTTTTCCAAGTTTCTATAAAATTAAATTTTTAATGTTTAATAATGTTAAATATTGACAAATTTCTTCAATTTGCTGTAGAATCTACAATTCAATTATTTAGAGAAACCATAATTGAAAAATATTATTTTTCAGATATATTACACAATTTTTCAATGGAGATTATTTTAAAATTCCTTGTACAGTCTCTTTAATATACTATCTGTATAACGTGGAGGTTATACTGCATCCTTCTTAACTAGATTCCCACACTGTAGGATACCTAAAGACAATAACGCTCACCAACCTCCCTTATTTATTCTTCACAAAACAATCATGATATGGCTTTGTTCTTCCAAGAGTTGTATAACGAAAACCGATAAATTTTTGGCGGATTTCATGGAAAATATTTTGCCCGGATTTCTTCAATTTCTCGGCATCTCGTCAGTTGATGGATCTATTGGAGATTCCTCCTAATATCCGACTAATATATATCTGCCTCTGCTAGATAGATAGATAGATAGATAGATAGATAGTTAGATAGATAGATAGATAGATAGATAGATAGATAGATAGATATATAGATTTATATATATATAGATAAATAGATAGATAGATAGATAAATAGATAGATAGATAGATAGATAGATAGATAGATAGATAGATAGATAGATAGATAGATAGATAGATAGATAGATAGATAGATAGATAGATAGATAGATAGATAGATAAATAGATAGATAGATAGATAGATAGATAGATAGATAGATAGAAGATAGATAGATAGATGGATAGATAGATAGATAGATAGATAGATAGATAGATAGATAGATAGATAGATGAATAGATGAATGCATACTAATTAATATATGAATGTATACTAATGAATATATGAATGTATACTGATGAATATATGAATGTATACTGATGAATAAGTAAATGTATACTGATGAATGCATATATGAATGCATACTGATGAATGAATATATGAATGTAAACTGATGAATGAATATAAGTATGTATACTGATGAATGAATAAATGAAAGTATACTGATGAATGAAAATATGAATGTATAAGAATGAATAAATAGATAAATGTATACTGATGAATGAAAGGATGAATGTATACTGATGAATGAATAGATGAATGTGTACCGATGAATGAATAGATGAATGTTATGTAACGATATTTACAAGCTCTGGCATGTCCGACGGTTATGAGAAGCATTCAAACATTTAGATATATTTATACAGATAGATAGATAGATAGTCAGGAATGTCAAGCAAAATACAAGGTTACTCCCCCCCCCTCTCACTTCCTCAAATGAAGTCTGTAGTTCCCCCTCCCCCTTTCTTTAACTGAAATTGTGTGTATACATTAAATCAGGACAAAAATATTATGTTTGCTTTTCTATATGTTCTAGCTATACAGGGTAAGTATATAATCTAGCTATACAGGGTAAGTATATGTTCTAGCTATACAGGGTAAGTATATGTTCTAGATATACAGGGTAAGTTTATAATCTAGCTATACAGGGTAAGTATATAATCTAGATATAAAGGGTAATTATAAAATCTAACTATAAAGGGTAAGTATATGTTCTAGCTATACAGGGTAAGTATATAATCTAGCTATACAGGTTAAGTATATAATCTAGCTATACAGGGTAAGTATATAATATAGCTATATAGGTTAAGTATATGCTCTAGCTATAAAGGGTAAGTATATAATCAGCTATATAGAGTAAGTATATGTTCTAGATTTACAGGGTAAGTATATGTTCTAGCTATACAGGGTAAGTATATAATCTAGCTATACAGGGTAAGTATATGTTTTAGCTATACAGAGTAAATATATATTCTAGCTATACAGGGTAAGGATATGTTATAGCTATACAGGGTAAGTATATGTTCTAGCTATACAGGGTAAGTATGTAATCTAGCTATACAGGGTAAGTATATAATCTAGATATAAAGGGTAATTATATAATCTAACTATACAGGGTAAGTAAATGTTCTAGCTATACAGGGTAAGTATATAATCTAGCTATACAGGTTAAGTATATAATCTAGCTATACAGGGTAAGTATATAATCTAGCTATACAGGGTAAGTATATGTTCTAGCTATACAGGGTAAGTATATAATCTAGCTATACAGGGTAAGTATATGTTCTAGCTATACAGGGTAAGTATATAATCTAGCTATACAGGGTAAGTATATGTTCTAGCTATACAGGGTAAGTATATGTTTTAGCTATACAGAGTAAATATATGTTCTAGCTATACAGGGTAAGTATATGTTCTAGCTATACAGGGTAAGTGTATAATCTAGCTATACAGGGTAAGTACATAATCTAGCTATACAGGGTAAGTAGATGTTCTAGCTATACAGGGTAAGTATATAACCTAGCTATATAGGGTAAGTATATAATCTAGCTATACAGGGTAAGTATATAATCTAGCAATACAGGGTAAGTATATGATCTAGCTATACAGGTTAAGTATATAATCTAGCAATACAGGGTAAGTATATAATCTAGCGATACAGGGTAAGTATATATTCTAGCTATAAAGGGTAGGTATATATTCTAGCTATACAGGGTAGGTAGATGTTCTAGCTATACAGGGTAAGTATATAATCTAGATATACAGGGTAAGTTCATAATCTAGCTATACAGGGTAAGTAGATGTTCTAGCTATACAGGGTAAGTATATAATCTAGCTATACAGGGTAAGCATATAATCTAGCTATACAGGGTAAGTATATAATCTAGCTATACAGGGTAAGTATATAATATAGCTATATAGGTTAAGTATATGCTCTAGCTATAAAGGGTAAGTATATAATCAGCTATATAGAGTAAGTATATGTTCTAGATTTACAGGGTAAGTATATGTTCTAAATATACAGGGTATGAATATAATCTAGCTATACAGGGTAAGTATATGTTCTAACTATACAGGATAAATATGTTCTAGTTATACAGGTTAAGTATATGTGTTGTATACAGGTTAAGTATATGTGTTGTATACAGGGTAAGAATATGTTCTAACTATACAGGGTAAGTATGTTCTAGTTATACAGGGTAAGTATGTTCTAGTTATACATGGTAAGTATGTTCTAGTTATACAGGGTAAGCATATTTGTTGTATAGAGGGTAAGTATATGTTCTAACTATACAGGGTAAGTATGTTCTAGTTATACAGGGTAAGTATGTTCTAGTTATACAGGGTAAGTATATGTGTTGTATACAGGGTAAGTATATATGGTATATACAGGGTAAGTATATGTGTTGTATACAGGGTAAGTATATGTGGTATATAAAGGGTAAGTATATGTGTTGTATACAGGGTAAGTATATGTTCTAACTATACAGGGTAAGTATGTTCTAGTTATACAGGGTAAGTATGTTCTAGTTATACAGGGTAAGTATGTTCTAGTTATACAGGGTAAGTATGTTCTAGTTATACAGGGTAAGTATGTTCTAGTT